AATCAACAACCAAAAATAAACCCACCCAAAAATAAACAAAATATCCCCAACTACCCACCATCAAACACAACCAAAACAATACCCCTTTCCCATAAACCCCAATTAAATTAATATAACCCCTCCTTCCATATCCATACACATATAATCCAAATCCATCCAAAACCCTACCTCTCCACCCCTTCCCCCCAAACCCCAAAATACACCATACAACCAACACCAACCCAAACCCCAACCTAAACACCAATCAAACAAATTCCCCCAACTACCTAAATTCAAACCCTCTCCCCCCCTACCACATTCCTCAATAAAAAAAATCCCCCCAATAAAAAAAACCCCCAACAACACACCCACCCAAAAAAAAAACCCACCCCCAAAACACCCAACCCCACAATAACCTACCCCCAAAATCACAAAAAACCCCCCTCAACTACAAACCCCCCCCCATAAAACCCCAAACAACCAACTACCCCCTACATCCCTCACCTATCCCTCCCATCCTACATTTCACTCTCTATTCCCCCCACTCCCCTTCCCCTCTCCCCCCCCACCATCACTCCCCCCCCTCCCTCCCCCCCCCTCTTCCAAACCAAACCAAAACCACACTACCCTCCCTCCCCCACCCTCCCCTTATCTCCCCTCTTACCACTCCCCAATTCCTCCCCCCTCTCCCCCCCCCCCTCCTCCCACTCCCATCTACTTCCCTTACCCCCAAATAAAACAATATAAAACCTAACACTAAAACATCCAACCCCCATCAATTATTAATATAAATTCACAAAACTACATCCTATCAAATCACTCCACCACATTCCCCATACATCCACCACACACCAAAACCTACCCAACACCCCCTCCCTCCCCCTCTCTTCTTACCCCCCCCAACCCCCACCCCCAATCCACAATCCCTTCCACCCACCCCAACCATAAAAAATCACCAACCTCTATAATATATAAACCAATTATCCCCTACCCCACAAAAACCACAAACCCCCCCCACTATCCCACCCCCCCTTATCCCACCCCTCTACCAACCCAAACCCATAACACATCCCATATCATCCACATAATTCCATTCACCAAACCCCCATAAAAAACTCCCATAACCACCCCCCATACACCATACACCACCACCCCATAAATTCAAAAAACCCCCAACTAACCCCCAACCCACAAAACACAAACCCCCCCCCAAATACCACCCCCCCCCAACCACCCCATCCCAAACACCACCCCCCTCCAACCCCACCAAACCCAACCCAAAAAAAAACCTACCCCCCACACCAACCAACCCCCAAAAACACCCCCAACCCCCCACAACAACCCCCAAAACCCCCCCACAAAACCCCCAACCCCAACCCAACAACCCCCACCCCCCCCCACAAAAACACAACCCCAACACCCAAACCACCACCAAACCCTCCCCACAAACCCAAAACAACCCCCCCCCCAAACACATACCCCATAAAAAATAATCCAAACCAACACCACAACCAAAAAACCCCACCACCCCCCACCCAACACCACCACACCCCCAACCAAAACAAACAACCACCCACCACCACCCAACCAAACAAACCCACAAACCTTCACCCCCACACCCCCACCCCCACACCACACCCACCCACCAAAACCCCCACAAACAACAACACCCCACCCCACAAATAAAACACCACACAAACCACCACCCCCCCCAAACCCAACATACAACATCCAAACACACCAACATCAAAACACCAAACCCCCCCCAAAAAACCCCCTCAACCACCCAACCCACCCAAAAACCACCAACAAAAATCCCCTTACATCCCCCCCCCCCACCCCCCACCCCACCACCCCCCCCCCCCCCACCCCCAAAACACCCCCCCCCCCCACCCCCCCCCAAACACAACACCACCCCCCAAAACCCCAAACCCAACCCCACCCCCCAACCACCTACCCCCCTCATACAAACCTCACAACCCAAAACCCCCACACCACCAAAAAAACAACCACCAATCCACACCTAACACACCCCCCCACCCCCACACCCCCCCACACAAACCCCCACCCCCAAAACAAACTCAACCCCCCCCACCACCAACCACCCCCCACCCACCAAACCCACCCAACCAAACCCCCCAACCCCACAAACCCACCCACAACCCCCAAAAAAACCAACCCCCCCCCCCAAACACAAAAAAACCAACCCACAACCCACACAAACCACAATAAACAACACAAACCCCCAAAAAAATCACCACCTCCCCAACACACTCAAAAAACATAAAAAAAAAAAAAACCAACCCCCCCCCCCAAAAAACACACCCCCCCCCCCTAAAAAACCCCACCACACCAAACCAACCCAAAACCCCCCCACCCCACCACAACAACACCCCCCTAATAACAAAAAAAACACACCCCATCCCAAAACACACAAACCAAACACACACCACCCACCCCACCCCCCCACCCACCAAACCCAACACCCCCACACCAAACCACAAACACCCCCCACCACCACCCAAAACCAACACCAACCTCCACCCCCCCACCCCCCAAACCCACCCAACACCCATCCCAAACCCACCAACCACACAACCCCCCACACCCCCCCCCCCCCTAAACCACCCCCTAAACAACCCAACCCCCCAACACAACCCAAACCCACAAACACCACCCCCACCAACCACCAACAAACCACTCCCCCCCCACCACCCCCACCAAACCACCCCAAACCCCCAACCCCCACCCCCCCAAAATAAACCAACCCCAAAACAACAACACCCCCTCAAACCCCTACAAAACAACCCCCCACAAACCACAAAAAAACAACCACAACCCCCAAACAAACAATCCACCCCCCACCAATCAAACAAAACAAAACACCCAAACACCCCCCCAACAAAAACACAAAAACAAAATCCACCCTTCCCACTACCCCCCCATCACATAACACCCCCACACCCAAACAATACCAACCCAATCACATCCCCCCACCCCCCCCATTACCAAAAACCCACACCCAAACATATCAACCACCTATCCACCCCCCTATAAAATACAAAATAAACTACCACATACATATATCACAAAAATAATCCCCCCAAACACTCCAATCCCCCTTCCACATCCCCCTACCCAATATCCTCCACACTCACCACAATAACTCTCCAATTAACCTCCCCTCCTTCTAAATTAACCCAACCCCCCCCACATCCCCCAAAACCCTTCACCCAAAATCAAATATAATATACCAATTACCTCCCCCAACCCCCCCCAAATCCCCCTCCCCATCCCTCACCCCAACCCACAAAACCCCCCCACCCCCATCACACAAACAATAAAACCCCAACACAAAACCCCCAAACAAAAAAAACAACACCCCTCCCATACACCCCACCAAAAACCCACCACCCACAACCCCACCCAAACAACCCCAATCACTCCCAATCCTCCATATTCACCCCTCCACCACACACAACCCACCCACCCCCCTACCCCACCCCCCCCACACCCCAAAACAAAAAAACCCCACCCCCAAAAACATCCAACAACACCTCCCCCTCCCACAAAAAACAACCCCCCAACCCAAACCACACAAAAAACCAAACACAACATCACAAATACAAACACCCAAAAAACACCCCTCCCCAACAACCCCCACACAAACCCAAATACAAACAAATACCCCCACCCCCACCCCAAACCAAAAACACAACAACCAAAAATCACAACAATACCAACAAACCCCTAACCCCCCACCATCCACCCCCCACCAAATAAACACCTACAACACCCAAATCCCCACCCACCCCCATCCCATAAACTCCCTCCCCCCCCAACACAAAAAACCCCCCATTTCCCCCAAATAATTAACAACAAAAACCCCACCACACCCCAAATATCTCAAACACCCCCCAAATCCTCCAAACAAACCTACCCACCACCAAACACCCCAAATCCTCCTTCCTCCCCCTACAAACAAAAATATACACACATCCTTCCCTACCCCCTCCATATCCTCAATATCAATTTTAAATACAACCCATCCCACCTAATACACCAACCCAATCCAACAAATACACATCTCAACATATAATATCAATCATATACACCCCACCCCCCCCAACCCCCCAAAACCCCAACAACACACCACAACCACCCAACCACAACATAAAAAACCACCAAAAACCCACAAAAACCCCCCCAACACACCCACCACCCCAAACAAAAAAAACCCCCCCCCCCCAACAAAACAAACCTCCCCCCCCCCCCCCAACCACCCCCCACCTACTCCAAACAAACCACCCAAAACCCCAACCCCCCACCCACACCACAAACAAACAAACACATCCCAACCCCCCAAACAAAATCCATATCCCCCCACCCCAACCCCCTTCCCCCAAATCAACCCCCCAAAATCCAACCAAATTCCCCCCCATACAAACACCACCAATACCCACCAAAAACAATCCAATTCACTCCCAACCACATTCCCAACCACATCCCCCTAACTCACCCCCACCCCCCACCAACCCCCATCCAACACCCAACCAACCCCCAACACAATAAAACCCCAACAACAAACCAAACCACCCCAAAACAAACCACACACCAACCCAACCCCAAAACACACCCACCCCCAAACTCCAAACAACAACCCCCAACACAACAAAAACAACCAACCAAACACAACCACCAACACCACAACCCACCCACCCCCAAAAACCCACCCCACCCATCAACCACCCACCCCCCCCCCACCACCACACAATACAAAAACCCCCCAAAAAACAACCCCATCACAATCTACCAAACAAACACACATACCAAAACCCTCCAAAAAATCAACTAAACAAAAATCCCCAAATCCTCCCACCCCCAAAACCAAAACCCCAAAACCCCCAAACCCACACCCACACAACTAAACCCCACCAAACCCCACAAACCACCACACACACAACCACACACCACAACAAATCCAACACACCCACACCACCCACAACCACAAACAACAACCCCTACCAACCCCAACCCCAACACACCACCCAACCAACAAACCAAACCCCCCATACATAAAACCCACACAAACCAAACCCCAACCCCCACCCAACAACAAACAAACAATACACAACAACCCCACCCCACATCCCCCCAAATACCACACACATCCCAACCCACCCCAACCACAAAACAACCCCCCCCACATCAACACAAAAAAACCAACCCCACCCAAAAACACCATCAAACACACAACCCACAAACCAAAAAAACAACACAAACCCAAAAACACCAAACACCAAAAACACTAAAACAAAAAACAAACAAAAACCCCAACAACCAACCACACAACCAACAACAACCAAACAACAAACCCCCAAAAACCAAACCCCACACCACAACACAACCCACAAATCACAAAAACAAACCAACAACACACCCATCACAAACACACCCCAAAAAACCACCAACCCAACAACACCCAAACACAACACCACCCAAAAAAACAACAAAAAAAATACCCCCCCCCCACAACCCAATACAACAAACCACCAAAAAAAACCCACCCCAAACAACCAAAACACCCAACAAACACCCAAAAAAAACCCAACCAAAAACAAAACACCCCCACAAACACCAACAAAAAAAACCCTACAACACTCCTTTAAACCCTACCCCAAATCACCCACCCCCCACACAAAAAACCCAAACACACCCCACAAAAACACCCAAAAATCACCACCTACAAACACCCGCCCCCACAACAACCCCAAAAAACCCCCCACCCCTCCACACCCCCCTTTACCCCCAATACCAACTTTCCCAAATACCCACCCCTAAATCCCAAACTCCCACCCTATCACCATCCCCCCCCTACCACCTCCCCAAACCAAAACAAAAACCTACCCACCACCTCCCCTATCTAAAAATAAAAATTTATCCCCCCCCTCTAACCCCTAATATATATATATATATATATGGGATAGGGGTTACATAAATTGTGGCAAGCTAGCCAGGAGGTGTTACAGTAATCAATAAATATTACTTTTATTGTTTCATTGCACTGGTTGAAAAATATTATTACAGTAATCTGTTATGGAGGAGTTTGAAGGTCTGCAGGTAGACATTACACGGGCAGTGTTGGTGGACAGTGTCACCAACACTGAAGCTGATGAGGAGTTATTTGAGTTCCTTAAAAAGTATGGGTCGATTGCTCAAACTTCAAAAATAGAAGATATTAATTCAGATTATTATCAACATTTTGTCGTTCAATTTCGGGCAAAAACTGCGGTTGCAGCTCTCTACCCAAAATTACCGTACACGTTTACTGCAGTTACTAAAGATATTCAATACAAGATATCTGCACTCTCTGACATTTATGCTAGTGACGTAGGAGCTACAAAGACTCAGACTTACTTGTCCGACTTAAAGCAATTGGCTAAAGCAACTGGAAAGGATTTTGCAGAAGTCCTTCAAGACATGATGGTCCAAATCGGAGGCACAGTTGCAGGGCTAAAGCCAACCACTCAAAGTTTGAAAGAGTCCCCTGAGTCCGTATTGATGTCTGATCGTGCCCCTCATGATTACAGCGCTGCAGATAACACAGAGTTCCCTTGTCCAACCACAAAGCCATCAGTAAGACCTTCTCTCTCCTGCCTCTCGGCTGCTGACATAAATCCTCCTGATGTTCAAAGATATGTTGTCGAACATATTGTCAAGAGTGATGATCATTTAGCTCATTCAATGTCGTCGCAAAAGTTACGAGTGTTCTCGGGTAAAGTACCCAGATCCCCCCATGAGGCCGACTACGACACATGGCGTTCTAGTGTCGATTTAATCTTGAAAGACCCTGCCATATCAGATTTGCAACGTTCCCGAAAAATCTTGGAAAGCCTCTTGCCCCCTGCCGCAGATATGATTAAGCATTTGAGGACAGATACCCTGCCCACTGTCTACTTACAGCAGCTGGACAGTGGCTTTGGAACAGTACAGGATGGAGACGAGTTATTCGCAAAGTTTATGGATACTTTCCAAGATTCAGGGGAGCTGCCTTCGCTATATCTGCAGAGATTACAGGTCTCATTGAATCTGGCAGTCAAGAGGGGGGGTGCTTTAGAGACAGAAGCCAATAAGCACCTATTAAATCAATTCTGTAGAGGGTGCTGGGACAATTTGCTTATTTCTGAGTTACAATTGACCCAAAAGAAATCCCAGCCGCCGTCGTTTGCAGAGTTGCTTCTGCTCTTACGAACTGAAGAAGATCGGAAATCAGCAAAAGTGGCACGGATGAAACAACATCTAGGGGGAGCTAAACAAAAAGCTGCAGTGAATTATCAAGCGATCAGTTCTGATAACAGCGTGGATCCAGTTGCAGCACTGACCACACTTACACAGTAATTAGCCAAGCAAGTGGCTGATATGCAGAAGCAACTGTCCGCTATTACTGGTCAAGCATCGAATAGTCCGTCATTCCGGTATCAATCTGGGTACACTAATCAGAAATTGAATAAAAGTGCATTTACAAAACAATCACCCAACGGAGCTTCATCTACACCTAAGCCAGGGTATTGCTTTCGATGTGGCGAGGATGGCCACACTCAGCCACAGTGTGGAAATCCGCCCAATCCAGGCCGCGTGTCCAGTCAGCGGAAGAAGTTCCAGGAGAGATTGCAGAAATGGCAGAATGAGAAGTCGTCAAACAATTCAGAAATGTTAAACTGACACCCGTTTCGGTTGAGGGACAGACCGGAACTGGGATGGACAAACACTGTCCCAGCCCAAAGATCAAGCGGGTCCAGTTGAATCAGTCGGCTGTCAACACTGGCAGATTCCCGAAAAGATTGATTGGCTCCAGATGCACTACGCTTGTGAACATTGCTGGTGAAGACTGTAGTTGTTTATTGGATACAGGCTCACAGGTCACTACAGTACCTGTGTCATTTTATAACAAATGTTTATCTGATCAGGAAGTAAAGTCATTGGATAATCTTTTGCAGATAGAGGGCGTTGCAGGGCAACCTGTTCCTTATCTCGGGTATGTGGAGCTTACAGTGAAGTTCTACCCTGATTTTCTTGGTGTGGAACTTGTGATACCCACTGTTGCTCTTGTTGTCCCAGATTCACAGTCATCCATACAGTCAAGCGTGTTGCTTGGGATGAACACATTAGAAGTGCTGTATGATCAATTTCTCAACAGTAGTTACCCGAGTTTTGAACCACAGTCCAATGGCTATAAAGCTATTCTTAAGATGTTGGAATTACAGCATAAGAATAATGAGAATGGGGCTATTGGTGTTGTCCGTTTAGCCATTAAAACACCACTGTGCGTTCCGGCAGGACAAATTGTAACACTTGAAGGGTCAGCAAGAATTTCTTGCCCTCCTTGTGGGAAATGGGCTGTTGTTGAAAGTCCCCAATCCCCATTGCCAGGGGGGTTGTTTGTTAAAACTGGTTTAATAACACTGCCTCAGCAGTCGCCCTATAAAGTACCAGTCATTATGGCCAACGCCACTGAACAAGATCTTTTCATTCCACCACTCACTGTTATTGCTGAACTGGGTGCATGCCAAGCAGTAATCTCTGAGCAAACTGTGAGATCAGATTGTTCCACAAATCAGAATTTTGAGCTACATCTCAACTTTGGTGAATCAAATCTCTCACCAGAATGGAAGGACCGCATCACAAGCAAGCTTCGAAACCTTCCAGAAGTCTTTGCACACCACGACCTCGACTTTGGTTGTACAGATAAAGTGAAACATCACATACGGCTCCATGATAACTCTGCGTTCAAACATCGTGCCAGACCTATACATCCCAACGACGTTGAGGCAGTGCGAAGGCATTTGCAAGAGCTGCTGGCTGCGGGGGTTATCAGAGAGTCAGAGTCCCCGTTCTCGTCACCCATAGTCGTGGTTCGTAAGAAAAACGGTGATATTAGACTCTGCATTGATTACCGGAAGCTTAATCAACAGACCACCAAAGACGCTTACGCTCTCCCAAATCTCGAGGAAACCTTTTCTGCGTTAACCGGTTCAAAATGGTTCTCAGTTCTTGATTTAAAGTCTGGGTATTACCAAATTGAGATGAACGAGGAGGACAAGATGAAAACGGCATTTGTGACACCCCTTGGATTTTGGGAATTTAATCGGATGCCACAAGGCGTGACAAACGCGCCTAGTACCTTCCAGCGAGTAATGGAAAGATGTATGGGAGATTTGAACTTAAAAGAAGTTCTTGTATTTTTGGATGATCTCATCATATTTTCCGATAGTGTTGAAGAGCACGAGAGACGATTGTTACGAGTTCTTAACAGATTAAAGGAGTATGGTCTCAAACTATCTCCAGAGAAGTGTAAGTTCTTCCAGTCGTCTGTTCGGTATTTGGGACATATTGTGTCTGAGCATGGAGTTGAGACGGATCCCGAGAAGATCAGTGCTTTAAAGACCTGGCCAGTTCCCAAAACATTAAAAGAACTGAAGTCATTCCTTGGGTTCTCTGGCTATTACCGCCGATTTATTAAACATTACGCAGCCCTGGTGAAGCCTCTTAACAATCTTACTCGGGGGTATTGTCCAACCCATGGTGGGAAAATGGGAAATGAGCATTATCATGATCCCAGGAAGAACTTTGGCGAACGATGGACGCCAGAATGCCAACTTTCTTTTGAGACGCTCATTGACAAGCTCACCTCTGCGCCGGTACTCGGGTTTGCCAACCCAAAGCAGCCCTACATCCTCCACACGGATGCAAGCACAACTGGGCTGGGGGCAGCCCTGTACCAGGAGCAGGATGGGCAACTTCGCGTAATAGCATATGCCAGCCGGGGGTTGTCCCATAGCGAATCTCGATATGCCGCACATAAACTGGAATTTTTGGCATTAAAATGGAGTGTAACTGAGAAATTTCATGATTACCTCTATGGGGCCAACTTCACAGTCATCACAGACAACAACCCCCTTACATATGTTCTAACGTCTGCGAAGCTCGATGCTACCAGTCATCGCTGGCTTGCTGCCTTGTCCACATATTTGTTTAAACTTCAATACCGTACAGGCAAGCAGAACATTGATGCCGATGCACTATCTCGAAGGTCTCATGAACTCTCTTCCGAGACCCCTCACTCCCAGAAGGAAGTTGATTTAATCAGGAACTTTCAGGAGCATCACTTTATTGACACCGGTGACTCCCATTATGTTCCTCAAGATGTAGTGGAAGCTATCTGTCAAGGGGTCTTGGTGCGAAGCAACAGCGAGGTAGAGACTAATATCACACTGGTCGAATCCCTTGCAGTCACAGCCGATGCAGTTCCGGTTGTATATGGAGACGAACTCGACCATGGGTTACCAGTCATCTCATCCATGTCATCTTCGGAGATCAGAGCTCTACAACAAGCAGACCCAAGTATTAGTGAAGTAATCCATGAACTCGAATCAGGAGATAAGCC